AGTGGGTCAGTTCTGGTGAATATGCTTCATCATCATTCTCTAAGTAATACTCTTCCAAAAATAAAAGCCGCTCGATTTTACCTTTGTTGAAGATGTTATTGCCTTCAAACAATGAAGTAGTTAATAGAACACATCCATCCTCATCATAAACGAGACATGAAAAAAGAAAACGTTTAAATTCTCTTTATATTACCTGAATAGGCTGGCGAAATTTGATTTGTTGGTTTCTCTCTCAACAAACGAATTTTGTGTAAAAAATACATTTATGGAAACAAATAAATGTAATTATTTTATGGGCGTAAACTTTAGACTAAAATGATATTTTACTTAGGGATCTCTGTAAATTTCATATTATGAAAGTTGCATTTAGCCATTTAAATGTCAAGTATATTGCAATTCTTGTAGCTTTAAAATACACAACAATTCGTGAAAATGTCAAAATACCGATTGATTCACAATCTTCTCTGTTATTTTCCTTCGGTATTGAGATATATAGAGAAAGTAAATTTTGTAACCTTAGAGAAGAAAAAATATGAGGCCCCTGTGATTCGGAAAAAAATACAAACCTGAATTGCGAAAAATGCAGTACAAAAATAACTCCGCCTTTTTCTTTGTCTAGATAATCTCCATCATGTCGTGGCAGAAGGATGTTACTGGTTTTCGAGATGCTGTTAGAGACATTCATACCATCCCCAGGGCAATTCTTTGCAATCCAAACGCGAAGGTGGAGTTGAATCTGGAGGGCTTTCATCGCGGCGAGCCAACAACTCAACAACCACTAATTCCACACCAAGGAGTTCGAAATAGCTGGAGTCGTCAGGGTTGGATAGCTCATGAGAAACTTGCCACACCTCCGGGGAAACTTCCGGCTAACTTTGAGGGCCTATTTCAAAATGATGCTGCCGTTGGAAATCGTAAGACTAGGAAACAGCAAAGGCAACAAATGCAAAAGCAAAGACAGGGTCAGATGCAGAATATGGAAAATTCGAAAGTTGCGAAAATCCAATTAAACACTGAGAATGATAAAGAACGCAAACAACAACGTAAAAAGGCGCGGAAAGAGATGCTGGCAAAAATGACCCCTCAACAGCGAGAAGCTTGGAAGTCACGCAGAAAAGCTCGCAGAGCTCAACGTCAGATGTTGAGAGGTAGTCAGCGGGGTTTGCGTAAAAACAACGACCCAACAAATGGATCACATGTATCACCTCTTTAAGTTATCCCCCCCCCCCAAATCACCTATATCATACCCCTCTCCTAACCTTTTGGATTTTCCTGCACAGAAGATGTTCTCTTTACATTCAGACTCTACACTTACACACGAAACTTAGTTCTCTCTCAACATATATCCCACTTACTCGTAAAGTTCTACTAACAAATTATAAGTAGCACCTCCTCTTCACAAACGCATTCTATGCCATACGCTATAAAGCATCATTCGAGTTTATTTTACTCTAATGAAACGAGAAGTGAGTTTGGTTTTTGCGTGTCATTTCAATGTATGTTCAATGTAAAATATACTTGATCATCTCGAAATACTGCTTAAATTTTTATATATCTGAACGATGTAAGGAGTGTAGAAGCCAGAATCCTTGGGACTTACATAGATATCTATTGTTGGTCATTTCAGTCTTACAGAACTACCTTTCATAGCTGGAAACAAGTTGAATTCGATCAGTATTACATGCAAGTTTCTACGCAGCTGCATACCTAAAATTGAAGTTTCTTAACGCCCCAGTTTTCACTTAAACAGTATTTTATTTTGATGAATTTACCCAAAGTAATTGTCAAGATGCAATTTTGATGGAGTGTAGGTAGTATTATTTTAGTTAAATATAAATGAAATAGGGATATTTTTTAGTAAAAGCAAAGTGCCCATTTGGTTCATATTTCGATTGTTATTATCATTACGTCTTTTCGATTTCAAGAGAAGTATATTGTAAATCTTCAACATCTCATTGGCAAATTCCCCCAGTGTGGATTGGCTTCTGAGATTATCCGAGCTACCTCAACAACATTGAGGAAACAGGGAGTAGGGCATGATTAACATCTGTTGTAGTTGTATCTCTGACATAGCTTATTCATTATAATACAATGAAGGGTTTGTTAAACAATGCAGGGTCTTCTGATTAGTGGCTGGTTGGGTGGTCTCTACTCTCATGACCTCATATGCCCCCCCCCCCCCCCCCCTACACGACAAGTAGCACAGCCGCACCTTCGGGTTTGTCTGAATGTGCATGAGATTTCTCTGTTCAGACATGACAGAGTTATGCACTTCCCCGACTGTAGCTAAGCCATGAAGGTGATTGATGGAAATAATTGTAATCGTTTGTTTTCAAAAGAGAGGTGTCCCGGGCATTCGAATTTTACTAACTCCGTATTTTATATTCCATCGAATTCATCAGACAGAAACAGAAGGTATGCACCTAAATTTACCATGTTCCAGACACGTAAGTGGCACTTGTGATGGATATTACGGAAATAAACCTTGACTAAACTTCAACAACCCTCTTGTATAAAAGTACTAACGACATTAGTTGAGTTACATCAACGCTTTCCAGGTTGAAGTGTATAAAGTGAGCACCGTTTGTTACAAATTATGGTTAAGTGCAAGCGTGATCAACAAATGAATACCGTTTAAACAGCTTTGAGTGAAGACTAATCACTGAATAGTAGGGAAGGCCGCTGAGCTCAAGCAGGGATTTTCAGAATATTCCAGTGCGTGCGCGCGCGGTTACATTGGTTAGGCTTGTTAGCGTTTTACCCCAATATTTATTTATAACAAATGGCAGGCGTTTTGTTAGTTATCCTTAGCCATTTAGTTGACTTCAGGTTTCACAGAGGGGAGAAGGAACATCAAAGTGAGAAGGATTCGGGAGGGGGAATAGAAGAGTGATTCACAGATGTAAAAGAAACAGACAGACACAAAGGCTCAGAAAGGGTAAGATGAGTACTATGGTAGGGGTCGAATATGAAATACTGTTGGGGGTAATGGTAGTTTGAAGTGAGAAGTCAACTGCCGGTTAAGTTCTGGTAGTTTGAAGTGAGAAGTCAACTGCCGATTAAGGATCTTTTTGCCTTATGAGTATACGTTGCCCAGGGTGCACCACATTTTGCCGTATGAGTATGCGTTGCCCAGGGTGCACCACGTTTTTGCCGTATGAATATACGTTGCCCAGGGTGCACCACGTGGGCAGTTTGAAGTACCAGTCAATAGACTTTTTTCCGCATAAGTATACGTTGCCCAGGGTGCACCACATGGAGGTTGTAAGTACACGTTGCCCAGGGTGCACCACGTGGAGGTAGCCGTATGGGTCTGTTGCCCAAATATGACATACAGTGGGGTCATGGTAGTTTGAAGTCAGAGGTCAACTGCCGGTTTATAGACTTTTTGCCGTGTTAGGGTTAGATCAACTGCCGGTTTATAGACTTTTTTGCCGTATGCGCATACACAATGACATACAGTGGGGTGATGGTAGTTTGAAGTGAGAAGTTGTGACATATAGTGGGGTGAGGGTAGTTTGAAGTCAGAAGTCCACTGCCGGTTTATAGACTTTTTGCCGTATGAGTATACTTTGTAACATACAGTGGGGTCATGGTAGTTTGAAGTCAGAAGTCAAGGCATACAGTGGGGTCATGGTAGTTTGAAGTCAGTGGTCAACTATACAGTGGGGTGATGGTAGTTTGAAGTGAGAAGTCAACTACCAGTCAATAGACTTTTTTCCGCATAAGTATACGTTGCCCAGGGTGCACCACATGGAGGTTGTAAGTACACGTTGCCCAGGGTGCACCACGTGGAGGTATGCCGTTTGAGTATACGTTGCCCATTGGTTTATAGACTTGTTTGCCGTATGAGTATACGTTGCCCGTCAATGGGGTGATGGTAGTTTGAAGTGAGAAGTCAACTGCCACAATGGGGTCATGGTAGTTTGAAGTTAGAAGTCAACTGCCTTTAATAGACTTTTTTGCCGTATGAGTATACGTTGCCCAGCGGTTTATAGACTTTTTGCCGTATGAGGTCTGTTGCCCAAATATGACATACAGTGGGGTCATGGTAGTTTGAAGTCAGAGGTCAACTGCCGGTTTATAGACTTTTTGCCGTGTTAGGGTTAGATCAACTGCCGGTTTATAGACTTTTTTGCCGTATGCGCATACACAATGACATACAGTGGGGTGATGGTAGTTTGAAGTGAGAAGTTGTGACATATAGTGGGGTGAGGGTAGTTTGAAGTCAGAAGTCCACTGCCGGTTTATAGACTTTTTGCCGTATGAGTATACTTTGTAACATACAGTGGGGTCATGGTAGTTTGAAGTCAGAAGTCAAGGCATACAGTGGGGTCATGGTAGTTTGAAGTCAGTGGTCAACTATACAGTGGGGTGATGGTAGTTTGAAGTGAGAAGTCAACTACCAGTCAATAGACTTTTTTCCGCATAAGTATACGTTGCCCAGGGTGCACCACATGGAGGTTGTAAGTACACGTTGCCCAGGGTGCACCACGTGGAGGTAGCCGTATGGTTATACGTTGCCCAGGGTGCACCACGTGGAGGTGTATGAGTATACATTGCCCAGGGTGCACCACGTGGAGGTAGCCGAATGAGAATACGTTGCCCAGGGTGCACCACGTGGAGGTAAGGTGTAGTATACATTGCCCAGGGTGCGCCACGTGGAGGTAAGATAGCTTGAACTCAGAAGTCAACTGCCGGTTTATAGACTTTTTTGTCACATGAGTATACGTTGCCCAGGGTGCACCACGTGGAGGTATGTCATTTGAGTATACGTTGTCCAGGGTGCACCACCTGGAGGTAAGTCTATCGTGATTATACGTTGCCCAGGTTGCACCACGAGGAGGTAAGTCTATCGGACACCCCACGTTTTACCCCAATATACTACCACTCCTGTCTTTAGGGTTTTGAGAGTGTGGGTTAATTCAGATGGCGGCTTTCCTTTACAAATGATATTTTTTCTAATAGTTATTGCTATGGTAGCATGATAAGGACTGGCAGGCCTTTAAAATAGTCGAGCTCAGCAAGGTTAATGAAACTCGAATGTTCATATTTGCCTAAAATTTCAACCAATTAGGGGTGTGAAATTGATTATATCCATTTATGCAAATGTAATTAAAACTTGGAATATCATTAGGGAAAATCAGGAGGTCATAAATTAAGAGGCAAGTTGAACTAATATATATATATATATATATATATATATATATTTGAGTGAGCTTAAAGCATTTTAGAATGTGTGTAAACGGCTTTAATGGCGAAATGAAAAGTTTTTTTAAAAACTCCTCCCACAATAAGATAATGTGGCATTATTTTGCTACCTTCAATTTCCGCTTAGGCATGCATTTCCTGCATTCCACTGCTTCGTTTACTGCGTCCTCCTTTGATTAGCCATCATCATTAATGCTGACATTTCCCTTTGTTTTAAAAGTTGTTCACATTTTATAGTGGACAAGTGGATACATAGCTAAGATTTGCGATAGCATCTAAAGAAAGAACAACAGCAAATGAATTCAAGTTGGCACAAAACACAGAGAGTACAGCAGTAAAATATTCTGAAAAATGCGGTCGTGATATCGATCGCGTTGCGTGTGGATGTGGTTGTGTGTGTGAGGAAACTAACCAGTGATAAGTTGACTGTAGCTAATTAACTTTATAAGTGGAGTAACTAGGTTAAAAAAGTTCTTTTTGGAGGTTGTTTCCACCACGGCATCAAGAATGAGGTGTTAAAGTCGAGGAAACTGTTGTTTTACTTTATTATAATCCTTGCACCATTGAGTTGCCCTCTTTCTCAAAAGGAACCTGTTCCACTTTGCGGTATCTACATGTTCCACGTCTTACCTTTCATTGGAGGATTCAAGGGCTTCTGAGTAAGATTAGATTCACGATAATCAATGCTTTTGATCTTCTGGAGTTTGAGTGGATGTTTGGTATTGGCTCTTTGATCTTTTCACGGATACTTAATTACTATTATTTCAAATGGCAAGCTTTATGATATTTATCATTAACCCTTAAACTTTGATTTCAGCCCTCCCCATGGGTGGGGGGTACATATAAAGCAGCTAATTAATAGCATTTCATTAACTGTCTTCTTGCTTCCAGCATCCCACTGAAGGACCTGTAGAAGTTGTGATTCGCCCTGACGAGGGCGATTTCTCTTATAGCTTCGTTTCAAGCTAATCATATTAAATTGAAGTCAAATGCTGAGTAATA